GCCTTACCACTCATTCCGAGTAGTGATCACGCTATTCCTCCTGGTCCGGTGTCATAGCGCAACATTGTACTTTAGACCTTTTGGATTATCATAATCAGCGTAGCTTGCCTTTTGAGAAGTCCAGCTGTCTTATTTGACAGCTGTTAAGTTAAACATAGCCTTAACTTCCCCCTCTTTACAAAAATTCATTTGGACCGTGAATTTAGAGTAGATCAAGCTATTTGGTCGAAGCAAGTTTGGTATAGGGTATCACATCCAAGTTTCCAAGTATCCAGCGACCTCAACTTATCGCATCTGCTATTCATTATTTATCGAGATGCAACTACGAGTGCCGTTTTAAGATCATCAGATTGTTTTCGTTTTCAACAGCTTAAGGGCATCCGTTTTGCTACCGTGGCCCAAAAGACAGCAGTACATATTGAGTGTTACTGAGCCACAGCCTCTAATCATCCGGTTGCCATACTTGTTGTATTCTTGACAGGCTTCGAATTTGTTGATGGTCAATGCTCTATTTTCCCCAGTAATCAAAGCATTGGATCCCATACATGCTGTCAGAAGCCCGTACCATGTGCAGTAGCAGCATCGTTATCATACGCAATTTGAAAAGTACATGAAGTTGTTTAAGCTTAAATCAATCGACTACATGTAAGTGTGATCATCCCATAAATTTTGAGCAGAGACCAACAGCAGCGATTTAAAACGTACTCAGTTAGCACTTCAAAAACAAAAGCTGGTTCCAACAATTTGACAAACTGTAAGATTTTCTAATGTATAAATTGACTTCCTTGAAGAGATTACGTCTCACTTTCTGGTTTATCGCTCAAATTACTATAGTATTTCATGATGATACGAAAGAGCCCAAAATATTTCAGTTCAGGCCGAATCTTGCATACACACAAACTTATTTAGACATTTTTTCGTCCATAGTCATGCAGAGCACCAGTTGTTGAAGTGAACATTCACATCGATCCTTCAGTCTATTCGCATAAAAAACTATTTACCAACGTTGACCAGTATGCTTTCGTCGCCGACTAACCCCTCACATCTTGGAAACTACATTGAGAAAACGTCTGCAAGCCGATCAAAACCATCGTTAAATGGTCACTGCTACTTACTCAAAGAGAGTCTAGGATGTGATTCCGGCCTATTTGTTTTTGAAAGCTCAAATTACGACGACATTGCACGATCCATCGCCAATATCATGAAAGTAGATGTTAGATAGTGCAGGGTTGTGGTAGAAGAGGGGATTTATAAGGTTATTCGCTCGTGTCCCGAGTATTGCTCTATTGAATTTGGGTTGATAGTTTCACGTCGTCTGTGACGCTCGAATCTTCTTCATAGGATGTGCCTCACTCAGAAGATGTCATTGGGCTCAGAAGCGGTGCTGCGCTTGGATCTCTCCAGCTTAAGTTGTTAGATTCGGATCATCTCTTGCTATGTAGTACTCTCTTGTAGTTTTAGGGTATACCTGCTTGGTTCTGAGTATGAGTGATAAGCATAGATTTTGCGTCGTTCTGCACAGTGACGTAGCCACCACTACTTATGAGAGATTGTGATTTGCCTCTAGCTAATTTGACACATCATAGCAATATCGACGACATCATGTTGAGATTGAGTGTCATGCACCCGTTGCACGACGCTATGGCTAAGAGTCAGGATCTGCATCAGTAACTTGCAGATAACAGATGCAGATGGAATACACAAGAAGTGTAGTCTTTGAAAAGGTTTTGGCATAAAGTTTTGATACATGCAGTGTTAACCGTACACAGTCGTACTTAAATAGGGATCGTGCTATACGGATATTCTAGTCGGGAATTCAGATAGGATTGATCTTGACGCCAGTTTATAACAGCCATACCACATGCCAATTTTTTGAGTCATATGAATAGATAAGCTCTGTTCAAAACAAACAGCCCCTTTAATACCTCTTTGTAGCTGTGCAACCTTCTGCTCTGAAGCAGCGCAATGATTCTGACTGCTTGGCGCCCCAAGCCGATCCGATAAAACGTTGACCATACTGTGACATTAGAGGTATTGAGGATGTTGAAGGCTGGTATTCTACGTGCGTTAAGCGCTGACGAATAAGGCTGCACTTGTTTTCAAGAGCTAATCTTTATCTTGTGGTGTCTCAACCTAGATTGTCTGCGAAAAAAATCCCAATCCGAACTGCTCCGTAATCTGGTTCGATACATGTGAAACTTGATTATTACTAAGAAATTTGACGACAAATTACTAAAGGTAAGGTTTGACTTAGTATCGGCTGTACTGAAAAGGAACCTGGCCGAGAACATAAAGCAACTTGCTACTTTGTCTATATATCGGGCTATGTTGTGCGAGCTCATGCAGCAAAATATGACAAACGAGTCGGGTTCATTCTCTTCGTCGAGTATGGAGATGAGTCCGCAAGTCGATGTCTAAGTATAACTAGAACGCTCGGAAATAAGTAACCTTTGCTCATTGAATTGATTCAAACTTGTCATATGGTGGTCTCATAATCAAGACAAGACATAGTTACGATAAGCCCTGCTTCTGTGTATGTGTGTCACTGTGAGATTTTCAAACGATAATTCCCAAACCGCACATTTGTTATATCAAAGAATTGCTAAGTACATTCAGTATCCACTAAGAGCTAAGCCCTCAGTCAGGTTTGGGTAATTTGAAGGGAGCGATCTATGTCTTTATAGAATGGATTGTATGTATCGAAATTTTGCATACATGAGTGTATTGCACAGGTTTTACGCTACCAATATCTGTAGCTGACGCAAATAAACAAAGCTTGCGCAGATATCTCGCAAATTCTGCGATCTTGTTGGCACTTACAGCACATTAAATTACAGAAGCCTTTGAAACGAAGCATGGCACAAAGCCTACTTTGTGATGCAAACAGATGTTTATATTGAGTTGAGCCATGACAAGGAAGTGATGCAATTTTTAGCAATTCTAATCCCAAAACTTTGTGACGGCAATATATCTTTCATACTTGTAGCAAGGCAAGTACTGCAATTTTGTGGAAATAAATCTCACACATTTATTACAGTTACTTCGATAAAGTAACAATACAATTGTCATGTTTCCATATTACATTTGGCGTAGAAGTATGTGAATATGTATGAATATTCCGATTTTCTCAAAAGATGGCACAAGCCATTTGTGTGCTCAAAGCTTCCAGAAATGCAGAAATCGGTGGACTACTCAATGAATTTGACATTTCAACAATACGATGGAAGAGAAGAACATTCTCTTCTCTTCTCTTCTCTTCTCTTCTCTTCTCTTCTCTTCTCTTCTCTTCTCTT